GTATTTATTAGTGGAATTATTATTCCGATAATTATTTGTATGACCGTGCTCTCCCAAACATAAAGCCTGATGACTAACTGTGTGTGTGTCGCTGAGAACTTCTTATGAAGAGTAATGCAAATAAATTAAAGTCTAAATGATTTATTTATAGGAAATAAGTACATGCATCCCCCGTTTTACAGAAGGGTTGCGTCCCTGGAAAATTGACCGTATCGCGAAATTCCTTAATGTGAAACCTATTTTCCCATTGACTTCCATTATAAAACTGGAGATGCATTCCTAAGGAATTTTTTTTGGCCCCAAAAAAGTAATTCAAGCACTTTTATGAATGAAAATAAACATTTATGAACACATACAATACAGTACATTAAATAATTTATGATATACCTTCTTAAAACAACAAGTTTAATATCCAATGTAATGCCTTTGCGGCTTCTTTTTGGACTACTGCGGTCACTTCCACTTGATGGCCTCTTTCCAGTCATCTTGAATAAGGGTAATGCACTGTACTGTACTGTACTTACTGTATGTTTGTAAAAGTGAAATCCAACTGCTGGGGCGAGAAACATGCGCACACACTGGACGTAAACAATGGAGTGACTCCTCATGACGATGCCACGCTTGGCGGTAGCAAACACCAAGAAATCCACACCAAACAAATTATAATTTTTTTTTTTTTTTTTTTAATTTTATAGTGATTTTTTTTTTAAATTGTTAAAATTTACCCCAATTTCCATAAGGGCGAATTTACGGGACGTATCGCGAAATTATTGGTCATAATTTACAAATTCCGTAAGAGCAAAATTCTGCAACCCGGAGTTCCGTAACGCGGGGGATGCCTGTATTATGATCAGTAAATAAATGCATTATTGGCCAACTCGGACACAAAGACAAGCGGGAAAATGACCCCAAAGTGCGTAGTGACAGCGAGCACTCGAGTAAAAAAAAACTTTCCCCTTATTTGTCTCGTCACTGAGGCACCACAGAAGAATATAGAGGGACAATGTAGAGTACTGTATAGTTTTTCTTATGTCTTTTTTATTGTTTTATCATTTATAAAGGTAAAAAATTATTTTTGGAAAAGTTGATCTTTCTCGTTTTACCCCGTGTACTACTGTACACTAAAGGACTAAATTTTTTATCTCTTGTGCAAAATATATTGTCTATATTCAAATTATTTGCTGTCTTGCAAGGATTCCATCAATGCAAGTTATATTCTGCTAAGTTTAGTCTGTGACATTTTATATGTTAAAAACTTTAAGGCTAAAACTACCTTCACCCTGTGTTGGGAATGCTTCTTAGGGAGGCTTCTTAGCCCAGAACCCCCAAATTTTTTGTCCGAGTCTTCCGAAATCCGGATTAACCGGGTCTGGATATTCGAGGGTTTACTGTATACGTATTGATCAGTGGTCCTTCCCACCCTGCTATATGGCAGTGAGACATGGTCACATACATGAGGCACTTCAAGGCACTTAAAAATTTTCACCAAAGAAGTTTATGTTCCATCCTCCGAGTTCGCTGGGAAGACAAGAGAATAAATGCTAGTACTGTATTCTCACTTACACCAACTGTAGGAGCTTTATCCATGAACATATACGTTGGACTGGCCATGTTACCCACATGGATGAGAGTAGACTGCCAAAGTAGTTACTTTACAGTCACCTAATGCTGGCAGGCAATGGAAAAGGCATAACAATAGTCTTAAGACAACCTAAAGAGTGCTAAATGACCCCCTTAGAAGATCACTTCACACCGTAACGCTTGGAGTAGCACCACACGAGAAGGTGTCAAAGTTTTCGAGTTGGCCCGACTGCATATTGAGGCAGACAAGCACTACTGCCAGAAAGACGTTGCCACTGCCCCTCCCGCACTAGATGTAACCCTCCACATGTGCAACATCTATGGATGGGTCATCCATAAATGTTGCCGGTCCCGTATCAGCCTCTCGAGTCACCTCAGAGCTCACCAATAAGATTTTTTTAAATCTGACCAATATCATTTTGAGGCCCACTTGATATTAGGAGATATTCTGAAGTCAACAGTAAATACTTTTTACTATACAAAAATGCAATATTGACTGCATGAAAGAAAAAGTATTGGAGTTTTCTGGTGAAAAGGGGAGGGAGGATTCCGAACCCCCCCCCCCTCCCCCCCTGGATCCGCCCTTGGATTACCATCACCATTGTTTGAATTTTCTGTAGCTGAATGTATGTGCGAGTCCCTTCTAAGAGTGGGGGAATAAACTGCTCAATCATGTGTCCGAAGGAGAAGAGAGGATAAGGGATTGCTTGTTGCCGGGAATTTCAAATGACCGCGTGCAGCCGGAATTTCAAACAATAAATATTTAAGGGTTTGAACAAATGTTTCTTGCCCTGAAAGCGTTTGGACTATCTGAAATCAGGACTTATGACGGTTGGACATTCGAGAGTTTACTGTACAGAACTGGATTTGCTCACCCAAGCAAAACTTTTCTGAGGTTGATGTAGACATTACATTTCTCAAGTTCTAATAGTTAAAACTATGAACACTGGTATAGTATTACCATAATGTGGTCTTGCTGGTGGGAATGCCTCTTCATGAAACAGCACTTACCTTTCATCAATGTTAAAGTCTCAGTCATATCCCAATATTTTGTGTACATTAGAAGTGAATGTGAAATGTATACAGGAGCATTTGCCTACAACTCGGTAACTTCGTAGGGCCAAGCGGAATTTTATAAAAAGAAAAATCACTGACCTGGCTTACTCTTCCTCTAGTAAATCCTGCTGGTCCTTAACCAAAAACACCTGTAATAACTTGTGCAGTCCCTCTTTTCCTCCTCTCTTCTGACCTGATAACTCTATAGCCAACTCTCCTCCTGATAAAGTCAATCTCTTTTGCACCTTATTCTCCTCTAACTCCACCTTAGACGATTCCAACTCTATCCCTCCTACTCCTGCTCCTCCTACTGAACCTGTGTACTTTCCTATAAACTCCACTCGTAGGGTTGCTGGTGTGTTATCCAGGTTGGATGTGAGTAAGGTGCATGGACCGGAAGGAATACCGCCTCGTGTTCTGAGGGAGTTTGCTGAAGCTCTGGCCCCTGTGCTTGCTAGCCTCTTTCGCCTTTGCCTCAAAACACAAACTTTTCCTTCTTCTTGGAAGCATGCCCCGGTTCAGCCCATCCCGAAGAAGGGTGACCATTCCAATCCCTCTAACTATCGCCCCAACTTCATCCCTCTCTAAGAATTTTTAAACTATCATAAACTCTCATTTTCTCCGTCACCTTGAACGCCTTTCTCTTTTGTCGGATCACCAGTACGGCTTTCGCCAGGCGAGATCTACTGGTAATCTGCTCTCCTACTGCACCATTCTTTGGTCATCCTCTCTTAGGGATTATGGGGAACTTTCGTTGCGGCCCCCGACATCTCCAAAGCATTTGCCAGGGTATGGCACAAGTCTTTATTTCCTAAACTTCCCTCTTATGGTTTCTCTCCCCCACTTTGTTCTCTAATTTCTAGCTTCGTTGAGAACTGATCCATGTTAGTTGTTGTCGAGGGATCGATCTCTCGCTCCTTCTCTACCAATAGTGGTGTCCCACAGGGTTCTTTTCTTTCGCCTACTCTATTCCTTCTTTTTATCAATGATTTACTTCACACTACGACTATTTCTAGAGCTGATATCATTTCTTCTTTTAATGCGGATCTGTGCAGAGTCTCCGAATGGGAAGGTAGAAACTTGGTTAAATTCAATAGTAATAAAACACAGTAGTTATCAATTACACTTTCCAAAATAGAAGATCTCCCACCAATCACATTTCAGGATGCTATTATTCTGCCAAATTCTAAAATAGATATACTAGGCCTCACCATTTCCTCTAAAATATCATGGAAGCCACACATCCACACACCCTGCTGAAGATGCCTCCCGAAAGCTGGTAATGCTGTACAGATGCCGTAGCTACTTCATTCCTGTGCAGTTGCTTCAGGTTTATATGGGTTTCATTCATCCTAACTTGAAGTACTGTACTGCTCTCATATCTGGGGTGGCTCTTCTTCTGTCCAACTGTTAGATAGGGTGGAATCAAAGGCATTTTGTCTTATTAACTCCCCTCCTTTAATTAATAATCTCTCTTCCCTTTCTCTTTGCTGCAATGTTGCTTCACTCTCTCTCTTTTACAGGTACTTTAACGGGCAATGTTCGGTGGATTTGCCATCATGTGTACCGTCGGCAAGGCCATGGGCTCATAACACTCGTCTTGCGCGCGGTGCCCACCGTTTCTCTGTGGATGTCGGTCACACTAGAATAACCCATTATAGTACATCCTTCTTTACTCACACAGCCAAACTGTGGAATGCTCTGACGTCTTCTGTGTTTCCATACTCTTAAAGTCTGTCTCAATTAAAAAAGCTGGTTTTCCAGCATCTTTGTGGTGTAGATTATTATACCAGTAATCTTTTTCTCTTCTATTTTTAATTTATTTTTCCTCTTATTTTTTTGCCCCCTAGGTCCCGTTGTAGGTCGATGACCTGTGCCCGGGTGGGCTATTCCCCGTAAAAAAAAAAAATAATAATAATAATAAAAATCTATCTTGAGTGGTGAAGACAATCTTGCTGGAAGATCCATTATGAGATCCACATAAGGCTGGAAGAATACATGTTTTGCATGTTTTGACAAAAACTTTTACTGTGTTCAGGCATGACAGTATGGGCCTTGTCACAAGATATTAACAGGAGCTATAGATAAAAAGTCATTCACGATACTTGTACCATAATCATAAAATAAATTGTGATCACCTAATCAATGAGCTTGGTGACACTGTGTGAACCCCAATCCTTATTGTTGATTGAAGCCCAAAAATAAGTGTGAGAAATCACAATGACAGGTCATGGTATGATGATATTACATGACCCTAGTATGTCAGGGAGTTAATTGAAGCTTCTACCTTTTCCAATTTGTTTCATTATTAAGATAAGCATACTGAGACAAATAGCTAACCAATAGGTGGACAATGTACCTACCTGTACTGCCGAAACTGAAGGTACCTTCCAACTGGTTGATGCAGATTACAGATGTTCATAAGAAGCAGATTCTGCCAAATCTCCTCTGAAAGAAACCATAAGTAGTGGTCAAACAAAATACTGTACAGGAGGCATTAAAAATACTGATACTAATTAACTGTGGATGTGAATAATGGTGAGTTTTTACATGTAAAAGATGATATTTTATATCAGGCTAAGCAGATTAACAGACCTCAGCAGCCCTGACTAGGAGCCAGGCAAGTGATTTTTCATGTCCAGGTGCCCGGCATTTGCTTGGCAGATGAGTTGATATTTTGAGAGGTAAATACGTAGACAAAAATTTTTCAAGTTCTACGTGACCCCACTTAACCATACATGTTTAACCAAAGAGGTCCATCAATGGGCCACTTGTCATCTGTGTACTGTACCAGGATTAGTGACCTACAATACGCCAATGTTAGGACGAGTAGCAACTTTGAGTCTTCGTTGGTGGTTCATTTGGGTTTAGTTAGTGTTTTGGGTTAAGTTCAAGTTAGTGAGGGGTGTGTGAGGGTTGCTGGCATGAGTCACACAGCAGCCTGATGTTGAGGCAGCACAGGTCGCCCTCAATAATCTTGTATGAAGGGAGGGTGTTCTCGCTGTATTTTGTCTGGCAATGTTACTTAAGAGTTAACGAGTATGCTGCAGCAGAGGTGGCTGTCCTGGAGACGGGTGTCGTGGCCCGGATGGGAGCTGCTTCTCGTCGTGTTATGTCGACGGTATACACCCAGTGTCATTCCAACAATTGTTAATTTGTTCAGCAGTTACTAATGGCATTCAAGAGTGAAAAGAGCGGATACAATACATCAGTCTGTGAACTAAGATTTCTGCATGTGCAATCAGAACAGCTCCAACTAACAAATGAACCAAGCGGTAGTTTAAGTCTCATTGTAGTGTAAAAATTACTTGTCTGTGTACATACAAATTTATATTATATACTGTATAGGGTGGTCCAAAAGTTAAATTTTGAATTTTAATTTATACACACATCGCCCTAATACCTTTACCCCAAATATGTCTTCAGGCAAAATTTCAGTTCCTTAACTCAATATTCAGGGGTCCCACATTACGTGAGCTATGAGGGTGAAGTGCTCTCTGAAGAGGAAGATCTAAGAGCACAGATGGCCTTTGCCATCCACCTGGCTTGGTGGAAGGCCCCAGGTGCTCTGATCTTCACACCTCCCTCTGGAATTTACCCCAAGAAGGTGTATGACAGGACAATGAGTTCCTTGTAATCATCCCTGAGGTGAACTACAATGTTTATGGGACTAAAATAACTAAACGTTTTGTGGTTCCCCTAAACGTCGTCCAATTTTCTTCAAATTTTATACAAAGCTTCACTAGTGTACATGAAGTGCAACGAGGGCACCAGGTGCTTGCTTGGTTCAGACAACTTTAAAATTTTCACCGTATAATTTTGACCACCCTAAGATTATACTTGTACATGTAAGTTGTAACTGTTTTATAGTAAATTAATGTTTAATTTCTTTGGTTTTTCTTTATCCATACGGTACCACACCTTATCTCCAGCTTTTTTTTTTTATTACACATATTTTAAGTCCCATGGTCCTATCTAGTGTGTGAGTAAGTCACACACTCAAAAAAACTCACAATAATGGTGCCTGAACAGGGACATGGTAAACATTAACTAGAGCAATGTAGTCAAGAGGCGTGGTGATTTTTGCCATATGGTTAACAAAGGCAAGTTATTACTATTGAATAGTACATTTTGTAGTTGAAATCTATGAAATTTCACTATGAGTGACCTAAGAGAAATTATACAGCTTGGTAGGGGAATAGGATTAGTAGGGGAGAAAATGAAGGAGTTTATTTGAGAAAAGGAAACGTTTGCTAGAGAGGAACGAAAAAGAGAGAGAGAAGAGAGAAAGCTTAACCTAGACATTAAAGTATAAAAAGCTAGACAAGAGTTTGAATTAAAGAAGTTGCAACTAGAAGCTAGTATAGTCACAGCCAATAACCAGGGAAGGAGTATGGAAGACACAGTTTGTACACCTTCATTCTCTAAGTTGCCAGTACTGTATTTAATGAACAAACAGATAAAACTGTATTGATGCATATTTACTAAGGTTTGAAAGATTAGCCACAAGTACAAACTGGAATAAGAATGTATGGGCAGTTAATTTGGCTTCTATATTGCAAAGTAAGGCACTGGAAACTTATCAGCATTTGTCATCAGCAGAGGCTAAGGACTATGACGAAGTTAAAGATGCATTACTCAGAAATTTTCATTGTACAGCAGAGGGTTATAGGATTAAGTTTCTTAATTGTAAGTTTTTTAAGAATGAAACAGGTTCACAGTTTGGCAACCACTTAAAGAACTTTCTGAGAAAGTAGATTGAGCTTGCTGAGTGTGAAAATTTTTTTGGAGAACATTGTTAATTTAAGTTTAATTTAACAATTTTTGAGCGCTTGTGATAAGGGACTTGTACTTTTCTTAAGAGAACATGGTATGCAAATGTTTTCTCAGTTAGTAAAGCAAGCTGACTTGTACATAGAAACACATAGAAGCCAAGGTAAAGAAATGTCAAGTGTGGGAAGTAAAGGAAAACAAGTAAAGGAGGTTAAAGAGAGTGATGTAACAGAAAATACAGAAACTCTTAAGAATGGCTCTGGCCGTACATGTTTTGTGTGTGGCAGGATAAATCATACTGCTAAAGACTGTTATTACAAGTTTGGTGCTAAGAAAAGAGATGCTTATAGTAAAAGAAGTGATGTAGAAAAGGCTGCACTGGCAACTGAAAGTAAATTGACTGTTTCAGTGGGCCGTGTGGAAGGACATAAAGTGAGTGTACTTAGAGACCAAGGATGTACCACTGTTTTGGTGAAGGAAAATCTTATACCAGTCACAGTTTACTGGAAAATTGGTTCAATTAAAAATGGCTATTGGTATGACATTCAGTTATCCCCAAGCAATAATCAATGTTGGTATGCTTTTCTTTGATGCAAAAATATTCAAGACACCAATAAAATCGATGTTCACTCCACTGTAAACAAAGCCAAACTGACGCCTGGTGGGTGAGTCAACCGGCTGATAGGCACACAAAAAAATAGTTCTCTGTACTGCATATATTATCAATATGTTAACTAAATTTTAAAATGACTAATAATTTTAATATAAGAAATGCAAAAATATTAAAAACCACAACTTTCTTCATATTTACTCCACTGGAAACGAATGTAAACATAGAACAGATTACTGAATTGGCAGACTAGCCCATCAGATGATCAGCTGATGCTCACAACAAAACGTATTTGTCGTAAGGATTTCGTTAATCGAAGATTTGTTCATTAACCGAATTGAAGATCCATATGGGAGGTAATTAGTTAACCGAAATTTCGTTAATCGAACCGTTCGTTAACCGAGGGACCACTGTACTAAGTTTTTATTGGCACTCACCGATGGGTGGAGGTGGTACAGCGAGTGTGTGGTGGGTAGTGGAGCGAAGGAGAAGGATGGCAGTAGCGGAGGAGGAGGTTGGAAGTGGAGGAGGAGGGCGGGAGAGGAGGAAGGCGGGAGAGGAGGAGGGCAGGAGAGGAGGAGGGTGGTGTGTCACTGACAGTCTGCAGCTGCCTCCTCCTCCTCCTCAGGCTCTGACTGGGGTTCCTCTGCTGCTGGTTGCTTCTCCTCCGTGGTTGTTTGCTCCTCCTCGGCTGCCGGCTGTTGTGAAGAAGCTCCTTCTGCTGTCCTACGACGAAAAAATGAATCCAGTGTTGACTGCTTGGTGCTACTCATCTTCTTCTCCTTATAGATCTCAGTGTAACAACCTAAACTGTTATCAATGCTGCGTTGAACCTTTGAGCTACGTTCTCTGTTAGGGTCATCATCTACAAGCATTTGCATTGCTTGTTGGAACATGTTGAACGCTTCTGCCATCCTCTTGGTGGTCAGCGTTCATTGAGGTTCTTCATCGTCGTCGTCTTCAATGGGACTGTGAGCTCTTCGTTGGTGAGCTCTTCTGTATGGGATGCCAGGACGTCCCCAATATCCTCTGATTCCAGCTCATCAAAGCCTGCCTGTCTAGCCAAGCTGAGGATATCCCTATTCACTGCTGGGACTAAGTTCGTAAATCCCGTAAAACTGTTGATGCACTCGGGCCACAGTTTACGCCACACACCATTCAGGCAAATTTCTGAAACCTCTTCCCATGCCTTGCCAATGTTGTCAATTGCATGAAGAATGTTGAAGCCGGGCTAATATTCTCAGATCGTAGGTTTATTTTCTCCGTCTGTAGTCTTGAGCAGCTCGGCCATGGTACGGCGTGGATAATACGCCTTGAATGCGGTGATGTTGCCTTGGTCCATAGGCTGCATCAGTGCTGTCGTGTTGGGAGGCAAGAATACAAATTTTACACTGTCATGCAAGTCGTCGAGATTGGGAGGATGAGTTGGAGAATTGTCAAGGATCAGAAGAATTTTGAAGTTAAGGTTCTCCTTGGCACAGTATTCCTTCAGTGCAGGGACGGCGTGTACGTTTAACCACTGGCTTAATATGACGCCGGTTATCCAAACCTTTTTGTTTGCCTTGTAAATGACAGGAAGGTGATCCTTAGAGTAACCTTTTAGGGCCCGTGGGTTGGCAGCGCGAGAAATTAGCATAGGCTTCAGCTTGATGTCACCGGCAGCGTTTGCGCCAAGCAGAAGCGTGAAGCAGTCTTTCGCCGCTTTAAAACTTGGCGCTCTTATCTCCTCCTTGGAGATATTAGTCCTTTTAGGCATCCTTTTCCAAAAGAGACCAGTCTCATCCACATTGAAGACTTGCTTCAGTGAGTAGCCTCCTTGCTGGATAATCTGTTTGAATTGTGGCGGGAATGTCTCGGCAGCAACCGTATCTGAACTAGCAGCTTCACCAGTCATCTTTATGTTGTGTAAGTTATAACGATGCTTAAATCGTTAAAATCAGCCTTGGCTGGTCATAAAGGTCTCTTCCTTCGATCCTTTACCCTCTGTTTCCTTCATGTCGTCAAACAAGGATCTGGTTTTATGCTGGATAACCATTAGACTCACAGGGGCATTGCGTTGATTCTG